AGCACCTTGGTTAGTCCAGGATCACGACCAAGAGATTGCAGAGAAGCTCTTCCGTCATTAACCGATTCGGAATTCCAGATCTTCAACCTTTCCCCGCATCTCCCAGCGTTTTTCTTACTTATTATCTACCAGCGCTCGTGTCAAGTGATGCTGTGCCTACCAGCAATAAGGTCACATGATGTAAATCGAGGTCACAATTTTCGTAGTGAGGTCACAATCTAAAGTGAGGTTAAGTGTTCAGATGTAATTTGTATCTTTACGGTATAAAGCTAGTCTAGGCATGAGTTAGTGGTTAAAAATCTGTATTATGCACGTAAGTTCCATCCTGTGGGCGGTACTTAAAAGATTACAGAGAAATATGACGGGTCCAATGACTGGGCAGCAAAGTTTGGTAGCTAAGGAAGTTACAATGGTAATGAACTATTTATATGTTTATATATCTAGTTACGACCTTAATGAGTTATTTATGAAGATATGAATTCGGTCACAATTACCATGAGTTAGAAATGACAAGTAAATTTGGTTAATTGCTAGTGACAGAGCTGGAGACGAGGTGGATGATATACATGTGCTCACCTAATTGTGGTTGCAGGGGTCGAGACTCAGCTCCTGGCCCCGCCTCTTCACTGATCGTTACTAGGTCCTCTCTCTCTACTTCCTGAGCTTTGTCATACCTCGTCTTAAATCTGTGTATGGTTCCTGCCTCCACTACATCACTTGCTAGGCTATTCCAATTCGTGATGACTGACTTAAGAAATAATTCCTAACAGCCCTGTGACTCGTCTGAGTCTTCAGCTTCGAATTGTGACCCCTTGTTTCTGTGTCCCATCTCTGGAACATCCTGTCTCTGTCCACCTTATCTATTCCAAGCAGCATTTTGTATGTCGTTATCATGTTTCCCCTGACCCTCCTGTCCTCCAGTGTCGTCAGTCCGATTTCCCTCAACCTTTCTTCGTAGGACATTCCCCTGAGCTCCGGAACCAGCGTTGTTGCAAACCTTTGTACTGGTGCTGCATACTCCAGTATGGGCCTGACGTACACAGTGTACAGTGTCTTGAGCGATTCCTTACTAAGGTATCGGAACGCCATTCTCAGGTTTGCCAGGCGCCCATATGCGGCAGCAGTTATCTGGTTGATGTGTGCCTCCGGAGACGTGCTCGGTGTTATGATCACCCGAAGATCTTTCTCCATGAGTGAGGTTTGCAGTCTTTGTCCACCTAGCCTATACTCTGTCTGCGATCTTCTTTGCCCTTCCCCAATCTTCATGACTCTGCATTTGGCAGGGTTGAATTCGAGAAGCCAGTTGCTGGACCAGGTGTCCAGCCTGTCCAGGTCTCTTTGTAGTCCTGCTGATCTTCATCTGATTTAATTCTTCTCATTAACTTCACATCATCTGCGAACAGGTACACTTCAGAGCCTATCCTTTCCATCATGTCATTCACATATATCAAAAATAGCACTGGTCCTAGAACTGACCCCTGTGGGACCCCGCTCGTCACAGGTGCCCACTGTGATACCTCATCACGTACCATGACTCGTTGTTGCCTCCCTGTCAATTATTCTCTGATCCATTGCAGTGCCCTTCCTATTATACGCGCTTGTCCTCCAGGTTCTGCACTAATCTCCTGTGAGGAACTGTGTCGAAGGCCTTCTTGCAGTCCAGGAAAATGCAAACAACCCACCCTTCTCTCTCGTATCTTATTTCTGTTACCTTGTCATAGAACTCCAGAAGGTTTGTGACACAGGATTTTCCTTCCATGAATCCATGCTGGTTGTCGTTTATAATCTTGTTCCGTTCTAGGCGCTCCACTACTCTCCTGATAATCTTCTCAATGGCTTCGCATACTATACAGTCAGAGACACTGGTCTGTAGTTTAGTGTCTCGTTTCTGTCTTTCTTAAAAATGGGGACTACATTTGCCGTCTTCCATACCTCAGGTAGTTGCCCACTTTCAAGGGAAGTATTGAAGATTGTGGTTAGTGGCACGCACGGCTTCTCTGCTCCTTCTCTAAGGACCCACGAGGAGACGTTGTCCGGACCCGTCGCCTTTGAGATATCAAGGTTACTTTGCAGCTTCTGCACCTCCTCCTTCGTTGTTTGTCATCCAACACTTGTTGGTATATTCCCTGTTGGTGTTCCCCTCTGTGCTGTCTTCCCAGAACCCTTCTTGTCTTTATTGTAAATACTTCCTTAAATCTCATGTTGAGCTCCTCACATACCTCGTGATCGTTTCTTGTGAGTTCCCCACCTTCTTTACTCAGCCTGATCACGTGGTCTTTGTTGTCTTCCTCCTGATGTGACTATACAGCAGTTTCGGGTCAAACTTGACTTTCGATGCTATCTTATTTTCATACTGTCGCTGGGCCTCCCTCCTTGCCTGTACATACTCGTTCCTGGCTCTTCGACTAATCTCCTTGTTTTCCTGTGTTCATTGCCTTCTGTACTTTTTCTATTCTGTAGTGCACTTAGAATTTGCCTCCTTTTGTGTGTGTGTGTGTGTGTGTGTGTGTGTGTGTGTGTGTGTGGAGGAAGGTGGGTGGGTTGGGGGTGTGGTTGGCGAGTGTGTTAAGTGAGCGAGAGTGAAGCCTCTTGTCCCAGTTGTTGAGGCGCTGGGGTGACATACACACACATACCTCTAGTCGACGTGTTCCTTCAGTCCATTTTCCTAATGGCTGCTCTAGGTCGCACCATCAACTTCTCTAATGGGAAGTCAGTCCCGATACTTGGTCTAGGGACATGGAGAGTAAGTCCTCAGTTTATTTCTCGAAGTTAACCATTTATCGGCATGTTCATGTACTTGACAAATAAATATCTTCTTTTCTCTAAATATAAAATAATGTTGCCTGTGCTGAAATATGTTTAATATATCTAAGTGATGTAATTTTTCAGCAGTGCGAATGTTAACATAATTTACATGTGAGAGGTAATGTGTTAAATATCAACACTAAAGCCCATCTTGTTGGGTTGTGGCTAACATTAAAGTCACACTGGGTGATGTATTTCATTCATCAGGAAAAAAAAGTTTCCTGACATAGGTCTTGTCATACAATGATCCCCTAACTGGAGCTTTTGGTCCACCACGTAAAAATTTAAGGTTCACATTATTCGATTTTCGATTCACATAATGAATCTTAGTAAGGGGTCGGCAAATATTTTCACTGATGCAGCACATCACCAGCAGATATAAGTTTTGATTTATTTACTTTCATCACAGGAAATGTGTGTGTGTGTGTGTGTGTGTGTGTGTGTCTAGACAAACATTACAAACTTTCTTTGATTATGAGTTTTCCGTTTTGGCAATGTTTTCAAATTGGGAATTGTCAGTGGTTTAAATTACTCCAAAATCACTGGATCACATTGCAGGCAAATAAAGTCGAGTTAAAGATCATCTTGGGCTTTATCGACATGAATGAAAAAAAAAAGTAATAGATAAACCATACCACGGGTGGGGATAGAACCCGCGATCTGAGAGTCTCATTACGATTTCGTGTGTCAAGTAACAATAGATAAGTCGTGTTTGATTATTGTTTAATCTTGGAATTGCAGAGAAAATTCGAAATGTTTGTCAAGCAAAAACAAAATAATTTGAGTTTTTCGTTACAAACACCAGTGGAAAAGTGAGCTTTTCCACTGGTGTTTCCATGCGAGACAAAAATACTAAACATGGGATCAGTGACCTAATTCCACGAGAGAAATTTATGACCCCTCCGGATTTGCATTGCCCTCTGACCAGTACCACTCATAGCTTGTACAATGCAGTGTAAAAAAAAAAAACGTAAAAAAAGAGTCGTCACGGTGAGGCTAATTCTATCTTTGTGTGTGGAGGTTGGCCACTACCACCAGATGTTTGTGTTGCTGCCTGTCACTGCTGCTACCACCACCAACGTCTCTCAATTTCTAACACACAAATTATACACATAGTTAATGCTTTTTTTAAGGGGATGAAACTGTAAGCCAGTGGAAGGGCTCAGTCAGATGCCTAAAATTTCCTATGTCGGGTCAACATATGATAACTGAGACCCACATCACAAGGCCTTTCCTTTTACCTGGTGAATCTTGCCCAACTTAAAGTTTACGATATTTTAAAAGCATTTGGCATTTTTCTAACAATGTTATATTTTCTCTGGATATTCAATGTTTTAATTAGTAATGATATTCATTGAATAAATGTCTTACCAGAAATGTGCAGACATCACAAACTAGGTGACCTAACGAATTTCAGCATCCCCACCTCTACTAATTTCTTTGTTAACCAAATCACACTTGAGTACGTTACGTCATAAAGACCCCTTGTCTCCACTCCCATCAAACCCGCTCACACAAACCTGCTAGATGCTCAAAACCCTAGCACTCAAACCTTCGTTAACCCCCTTCCTCCTGCGCTTCCTGGGACGACACCTACCATCCTTCTCTTTCACTGAATATTTATCCACTTTATATTAAATGTTAGGTAACAGTTGCACGTGTATCCTTTTTACCTAACAAATTGTCGGTAATTCTAAGAACAATACAACTTAAATATGATAATGAAATTGACTTTCAAATACATGTATGTTGTTAAATGAACCAGTTCATCTCAGTCACGGTGAAAATCACACTAAATGGGTAACATCTGTATATGTGGTAATTAGTTTTTATTAAGTTGCACAGAGTTAATGTGTGGGACAGTCTAAGCCAGATGAGGTGACGGCAGCGGTGAAGGACGCCATCACAGCTGGCTACCGTCACATTGACTGTGCTCACGTGTACTGCAATGAACCTGAGGTGGGAGTTGCCATCGCTGCTGTCATCAAGGACGGTACTGTCACCAGGGATGAACTCTTCATCACCAGCAAGGTATGATCACCACTTAACAACTAGTGATAACATTATATCCACAGGTAAGCCAGCAAACCAGGTTAACAGCGACTGGGGAATGAGAGGTATTCAGGTTTGTTCCGAGGAAAAGGCTGGCTCTAATTCCATGGATCAAGAGCCACCTCACTAGCATCAAGGCGTCCCCATGTTGAAGGGATTGAACTTCCAGTATCTAAGTCTGCATCTCTATCTTCTCTATACACCACGACACACACACCTTAAGCCTGGGGAAAGGCTCTTGATTCAAGGAATTACTTCTTATTCCTTGAATTAAATCTAGTTCTCATTCCCCATTCTCTGTATGACCCTTGTGGGTTTAGTTTCCCCATGAATATATAACAATATTATCCATGTTTATGCAGGGAACATTTATATGGTTTATTGTGAACCAGACTAATTTAAAAAAGATGACCCACAGTCTGGAAACCTATGGACGCGGATTCGAAACCTGGGTTCCACGACGCTTTGGGAAAATAACCTTTCACTTGAACACATGTTTCACCTAGCACCTAGGTGTTAGCTTACTTATGGGTAGCATACAAGAGTAGAGTGTTAGTATGCCTTAAATAAGGCTGGGCTCTGAAATGAGCTGAGGTAGGATAATAACTCTGTAAATGAAATAAGGTAGGATAGCAGCTCTTGACCTCTAAACTGAGCAGTGAAAAAAATACTGACAAGGTTAGGATGAAGATATAAACGAAAGATAAACAATATGTAAAAATATTTTGTAGTTTAGGTGCCTGGATACTTGAGGTAGAAATATCGAAGTTAAAACTGACTAAATTGTGATTCCCTTCTAGGAAAAATATTCATTCTCTTCAAATTGATATTGTTCCTGTAAATAGGGTGACATGTGCAGATAGTGGTTATCTGTACTTGTGAAGGTCGTAGATACCGAATCTTCAGAAGACTTCCTACCTTCCACTTAGAAGTTCATCAGAGATTATGTGAAGTCATGGCACGTACACAAGGATCAAGATGCAGCTTGAAGGAAATGAACGCGAATGCAGTCACATGGGACGCCGTTATTGAAAACGTTTCGGACCTTGGACCTTGAACGAATGAAGGTCCAAAGACAATACATTTTCATTAAATGTGTCTGTCCTATGTGAATTCATTCGCGTCCGTGGTAAGACAGCATTCATTTACCATCTTACTACACACTGTTCGCAGTGGTTGAAGAACTCTGATTTTTCAGTGGAAAAATTTCTTTGATATTAATTAAAAGTTTTCTTTGTACCAGCTGTGGGATACTTTCCACGCGAAGTCGTCTGTGCTGCCAGCCCTCAGGACCACCCTGGCAAATCTCGGCCTCGACTACCTTGATCTCTACCTCATACACTGCCCCACGGGCTTGAAGGTCAGTGTCTTGACAAGCTGTCTGTATCACCTACCTCAACCTCTACCTCACATATTGGCCCAGATGTCTTGATAGACTACAAAAATAGTGTTATCTAGCAATAAAAATATATCTGACAATGTTAAGGGCCCCACTGTGACTTAAAACACTGAGGGTACTGTACCTGACTAACGCCCCTCAATAATAAACAGCTATCGGGGGTATCGTCTCCTTGGTACCATTGCATTGTATTGTATCATATTTATCCACATCGGATGTCTCTCGTCAGGGGGAACCCAAAGAAGAAACGCATGCACCACTGCTCATTCCCTAACGGTTTTTTCAAAAGGTTGTGGACGTCACGATGAAGTGCAGTACTTCCACTACTTTTAAGTACAGACAGTAACGTATCTCCACATCCATATGTCAAGTTCGGATAGCTGATTTTCGTGAATATCTCCAAAGATATTAGCTTCTTTACACACACATTCAAACACTGTCTGATTCTTACCTGCTCTAACCCTCTACAACATTTAACAACTTAACACCTCCATATCTTTAAGATTTCACTCAGTTCCACGGTCATCTAACATTTCCAAACTCCTGTAGCTCACTCCTATACACCTCGTCAATTTATTCTAAAACCCCTTTAACTCACTCCTAATCTCCTGAAATTTAGTCTCAAAAGAAATTTTTTATGGGAGCATTTCGACAAACTTTTTTCTAATGTGGATTTATTTAGTGTGATGCATATATTTGTTGAGCATTTTCGTCCGAGTAGTTTTTATGTTAGATAATTTTACTCTGGGTGTTCTTCTGTTGGTTCGTATTTAGTGTTAGATACTATTATAGCTGCGTGATCTCATCGATCAAAGTACCATTAAGTCTCGCATCTTCCTTCAACCCGCAGGAAGGAGGTGATCTCTTCCCAGTTGACTCGACTGGGAAGATATTCTACAGTGACATCGATTACGTGGAAACCTGGAAAGCAATGGAGGAGTGTGTGAAGTTGGGCCTCGCCAGGTCCATCGGGGTCTCCAACTTCAACAAGAAACAACTGGAACGTGTTCTTAAGGTGGCCAAGGTCCCCATTGCTAACAATCAGGTGGGTGCTGCTGAAGAGGCTACATCTTGATGCTTTTTAGGTGGTCTGTGAGTTTTGATTATACAAGAACAGTATTCTGTCAGAGCAGTCGAGAGTAAAGTCATTTATTTAATAACTCCACGAAAATCAGTCACAATATCTCTTTCTGTTTAATAATGGCAACTAAATTTAGACTGACCTAAGAGATTTAGCAAGCTTAAACCAAGCAGGAAAAGAATATTTTAAGGTCAGACTAGTTTTCCTGACTGTGTAAAGATGTAAACGCACAGCAGTATGTTTGCGTGACTCACGAAATCGTAATGACACGATTGCAAACAAACCATACCACGTGTGGATTTTGATCCCGAGGTCAGAGTCTCAAAACTCCAGACCGTCGCGTTAGCCACTGGGCCAGCTAGCTTCAATAAGATTCATCCAACAAAACCACCCGTAGTATGGTTTGTTTGCAATCGTGTCATTACGATTTCGTGAGTCATGTTGACGGCTTTGAGAGGACTTTAGCTCGAGTTCGTCACGGCCATGCTAGCGGGAGATTCGTCTGTAAAAACTTGCATTTGTGGCCACAGTGGTGCCTATGCTAACCTTCCTATGGTGTAGAAATATACCTAGTTGGATGAATCTTATTGAAGCTAGCTGGCCCAGTGGCTAACGCGACGGTCTGGAGTTTTGAGACTCTGACCGCGGGATCAAACCCCACCCGTGGTATTTTTTTTTTTAGTAGTATGTTTAGGATGTGACTCGTGAAAAGTGTTTGAGGTAGTGACAAAATTTTATCATTCTAGTGCAAGGCACTTGCCACGAACACCGCTTGCATTAGATACCGAAACACGGAATTATTGACTTAACGAATTTTCTTTTCTAGATCGAAGTACACCCCTATCTGCCCCAAAATAAACTGATTGAATTTTGCAAGAGTAAAGACATCACTGTTACAGCCTTCAGTCCTCTTGGGTCCCCAGATAGGTGAGTACTGGCTGTGGAGGTGGGTCAGGACTCTTAGACTTATACGTCAAAATTGGGTTTGACAGCATTTTGGAAAGAAGCGCCATCTGTGGTAACACTGTGCAAAGGCGATGTCCCCTTCTATCTAGCCTAAGGGGACTGATCTCCAAATTACGTCTCCGTTTTTTCACTAGTGTTATATATTAGCTTGTATTTGACTGAAGCCTTCTTTGAATGAGAAGCGTTTGCCAATAAAGTTACGCAAGTATTGCATATGTGTTTTATTAATAATGTAATAGCTTCTGCAGGAACAGTTAGTAAATAGGACCTGTTAATTGAGACTAGATAAAATTCAATGATCGAAGGTCGTTGGCTCCTTGTGTGTACAGGTGCTCGTAGTTTATGTGGTAGCTCTTTCATCTCATAATGTAGGACTCGGGTTGGAGCCTAGCACAAACACTCGGTATGTTTCCTTACACTTGTTGACTCAGTTATCCTAATAGTATTTACCTGGGTGTTAGCCATGTTGTCGGGTTACATCTTGGGGAAGAGGATTGAAGAACCCAAATAACTAAGTCATAGTGGCTATCATGTGCTATCCCGGGTTACTAACCTTCCGGGTTATCATTATTTTACTAACCTTCTAGGACTTTTTGATTTATAGGAAATATATCTTTGGCTGCTTTATAGTTAAACGAGTTTCATTCGTGTGTTTGTACTCTCCTGTTTGTAGTTGCAGGGGTAGATCTCAGCTCCTGGCCTTGTACTCACCTATTTGTACTCACCTTTTTGTGGTTGCAGGGGTCGAGTCATAGCTCCTGTGTGTGTGTGTGTGTGTGTGTGTGTGTGTGTGTGTGTGTGTGTGTGTGTGTGTGTGTGTGTGTGTGTGTGTGTGTGTGTGTGTGCGCGCGTGCACTCACCTAAATGTACTCGCTTAATTGTGGTTGCAGGGGTCGAGACTCAGCTCCTGGCCCCGCCTCTTCACTGAACGCTACTAGGTGTGTGTGTGTGTGTGTGTGTGTGTGTGTGTGTGTGTGTGTGTGTACTCACCTATTTGTACTCACCTATTTGTGGTTGCAGGGGTCGAGTCACAGCTCCTGGCCCCGCCTCTTCGCTGATTGCTACTAGGTCCTCTCTCTCCCTGCCCCATGAGCTCTATCATACCTCGCCTTAAAACTATGTATGGTTCCTGCCTCCACCACATCACTTTCTAGGCTATTCCATGGCCTGATTACTCTATGACTGAAGAAATACTTCCTGTGTGTGTGTGTGTGTGTGTGTGTGTGTGTGTGTGTGTGTGTGTGTGTGTGAGTGTGTATAGTGCTAGCCCTCGGTAAATCCCACAAATCCATTCAGCTATTAATATCGGTTTCCTCCAGTCACTTGATAGAGAGCGTGCGAGACGTGGAGTGGAAGATTTACCATAGGACTGATCAAGTAGGATGCTGAATACATTGAATCAGCATTGTGGGTGGAGAGAAAAAGAGAGAGTGAGACTGTTCAGAGGCCCTGGTGTGGAAAACTTTCTGTTCGTCTCTGGGTTACTACAGTTAGGGGACAGGGAGAAAATATTTTTTCTCCCCTTACACAACAATGAACCAACAATGCAAGCAACCACTAAATCTAAAATATTTGCTTATAAGGCAATAAAGACCAGTGGATGATTAAGTTTAGTGAATACTAAACTTCCGTGTTACATGTATCATCCCACAAAAGAATTTGCAGGTGTAGGCGAACTCGCTTCCCATGTAAAAAAAAAAAAAAGGATATAAGGGGATTCCATGGAGAGCAAAAATGCGACCAGCCGGTAAGGAGTTCGAAAATACCTCTACCCACGGCATTTTATGTGATTATTTGCGTGTTCGTTGTCATATTCACTTATACCTGGGAGTATATGGGAATGACGGATGTCAAAAGAGTGAAGTCCACTCCGAGATTATTTGCTGAGAAGAACTATGTACTTCTACCTAGACTAAGGACTATCGTGTATTATCAAGTTGTGAGAGTCCAGGATAGAAAAACAGTAAGCTAGCTAGCTCGCTCTTGCTCTCTCTCCATGCCCTATTAACTTTCTATATTTCTTTTGTCATGAACAGGCCTTGTGCAAAGCCAGGTGACCCAGTACTGATGGAGGAGCCTAAGGTCAAGACTCTCGCCCAGAAGTACAAGAAGTCACCAGCACAGATTCTCATCCGTTTCCAGGTCAGTTACACAGGTGTTGTAGCAGTGATGCTAGGAGAACTGTTTTCACAGAGATGTAACAGGTGTTTTTACAGTGATGCTGTCACAGATGTTCTCACGGTTTTGTCACTAGTGATACTATCACAAATGTTCTCAGAGTTCTTTCATTGATCCTATAGCAAGCAGAAAGGTTATTTAACCTATATATTGTAACAGTGACGAGTGTGTATTTTATATTTGTAAATTAATATGGATGAAATGTAGAGATTCTCTTTTTGCAATTGAATTGTTATTTTTATGTAAATGACACTGTACTGAAGAAATGTACGTATTTTTGTAGAATCGATCTGATATAATAAGAAAGAAAATCTTTGCAGATTGACCGAGGGTTGATTGTGATTCCAAAATCTGTAACCAAGTCTCGCATCGAAGAGAACTTTCAGGTACGATAAAAGATTTAATTTAGTTTAATCTGTTTGTGGTTGGAGGGAGCGCCTCCCTGCGGCACGGTTTCAGAACAGGTCTTCTAGCAATGTTCTGGTTAACCTGGTTATTGATACACGCTGCAAGTATTGCAACGTAGGCCGCACCTATGAAGGAAAGACGCAGGTTGCAGAAAATTTTGCTCAGTGTAGAGCCTCATCAAGCCAGCACGATGTTACATCATGTAGATGTGTAGGCACAACAACCTGATTGATCACTTCATGCAGTCATTTCATGCAATACCTTAGTTATTTACTAATCAGGAAAATACGCACCTATCATCCAACCCAAGGTGTCTCTAAAGCCATAAATATTGTTATTTTACGTGTTGCAGATCTGGGACTTCCAATTGTCGTCAGAGGACATAAAACTCTTAGAGAGTATGGAGTGCAATTTACGCGTCTGTGACGTTGCTGAGTAAGTAGTAATTCGCAAGTAGTTATAAACCGTGTGTACTTTTTCAGTGCATATGCATAGAGGGCGTGTTTGTCTCAGCGTATATACGCCGATAGATTGTATACATGAAGACATACATTTAAGTTCGTATATTTTCAGACATTCATTCCTTGCTTCAGGACCAGTGATCACCCGTACTACCCATTCCACGATGAATACTGATGACCTACGAAGAATGCTCACAGCTTAAGCTGGTTTCCTGAGTGTCAGTCATCAGTTGTATTCCGAAAGTCTTCGTCGAACACTTGGGAACATTTTCAGAGTACAATAGCGTCACTGAAAAATGACTCTCAGGAGTCTAAAACTTGTAGATGAATGGTTCAAAGAACCGACACGTTGTTAAATTAGACACATGTGCAACTCTTGGGTATCTTTATTGACACCACCTACGACTGCTGCACCTCTCCTGCCATACGATTTATAAGCTGCTTCTCCGCTCATATGCCGTATTCTATTCAAGATTGATGGACTGACCACATCGACTCAAGGTTGAGGAACTGATTACCTCATTCTCCTCCTGTTCTTCAAGTTTATCCTTTGTATGGACTGATGAAGCCACTGTGTGGCGAAACGTTTCCTCAATAAAGATACCCAAGAGTTGCACATGTGTCTAATTTAACAGTCTAAAACTTACCGTGAATATTATTCGAATGATTTCGAACGCAATCAGAATTCTGGTGCATAGGTAACGAGCACTGTCATGAGCACTGTGTATGACACACACACTTTATGTGAACATAATTATAATATGTACTGTCTTGTACGTGTTTCATTGATCCTATACTACCACACTAGCTATATCTTAATTTCTGAACCGTTTCGTCTGTGGCAGGCTTCTTCAGTTGAATGCAGAAGCGACTTGTAAGGTGAATGAAGTGGAGAGAGAATTTTTAAGGAGTTCAGTCCCTAAGGTTTTTTACCTGCTCTGTCCCGAGATTTTAATAGGTGTTCAATCCCTTAACATAGATGTATCGTTAGCCTCAATAGGTGTTCAGTCCCTTATCAGAAGGTATTCACTCAAAACTGACACATTTTCAGTTCTTTAGGCTCGTTCAGTGTTCAACGTTCAGTGTGTTAATAAATGAACAAGAGCCGCTGAGAGAGATGAAAGGGAGGACAAAACAAACTCGTCTATCAAACACTGAAAGCGACTTACTAGAAACAGAGAGACTACCGTTAGAACGTGCCACGTTACTGGTATCAATGCCATGATTATTAAAAGGAAATGAAATTGTACAAATTACTCTACACATCCCTAAATAAATTATTAATGAGTAGGACAGACGACTGTAGGACAGAGACAATGATACCAATATTCAAGGAAGGTGACAGAAAACTATGGACTATAGGGACCTGAGTTACTTCGATGAGGGAGACTTGATGCTGGTAAAGAGCTCGTAATGTATGAAATTTGATCTTTCCCCCACTTGCTTGGATGATGTCTGATTGTCTCCCATGACACATGCTCTATATGACCTCTAAGGTTTGAATGGATACAATAATAATAGAGATCAGTAATGGAGAAGTGTAACATGCTAATTGATGGAAAAGATTACAAGAACAAGACTTGCTAATATTTAGAAAAACCTGTTGACCATCTAGATTATTAAATTTCTCAAAGCACACTAATAAGAATTCAGAAATGGAAGAGTTTGCTTGTTTGCTTACCTTAAATAGATTTTCGATATACTAACAAGTGTCAGCTAAGAAGGAAAGGGAAGGGTGTCCTCGATATTTTCGCATGGAAAATGACTTAGCGAATTGGTGAAGCAAACTGGAGTAAAAAGAAAGGTATTATTAAGGATAAAGCGAATACTTGAATAGAACATATACAGTCACCTCGGGGAACGACTTGTTAGAATATGTGTAACTGTTGGATCCTTTAGTGTTCCTGGTGGATATTAACGACATGATTTTAGGAATGAATTCCTCTATACCTATAGCTTTCTGTAGGCTGCGAAAATGAAAATTTATAATGTAGAATAACAAAGAAAAATGATGCGTGTGTGTGTGTGTGTGTGTGTGTGTGTTCAGAGGGAGTTGGTTGGTTTGGGAGTGTGGCTGCTGTGTTAATGAGCAAGAGTGCAGCTTCTTGTCCCAGTTATTGAGGAGCCGGAGTGATATACACTTACACTACCTCTACTCCATTTATTCCTTGTTTCTTCTCTCCACTTCCTAATGGCTGCTTTACGTCGCACCATCAGTTTCTCTAATGGGAAGTCAGTGCCGGGTCTTGGGACGTGGGAAGTAAGTCCTCAATTTGTTTCTCGAAGCTTTGTATTTATCTCCATGTTTATGTACTTGATAAATATACTGTTTTCGCTAAATATAAAATAATGTTACTTATGCTGCAATATTAATACTAATCCATTTATGCTTAATATATCTATGTGCTGTAATTTTAAACAGTGGGAATGTTAGCATAATTTACATGTGAGAGGTAATGTAATAAATATCAACATCAAGCCCATCTTGTTTTGTTATGGACATCATTAAAGTCACGCAGTGGGTGATGGTGTTTTATTTTTCAGAAAACAAGCATTTACTGACATGGGTCTTATCATATGATCATCAGCTAACTGGAGCTTTAATCCAATGACCGAGATCTTCCATTGGTTTACCGGTCCACCTCGTAAAAATTTAAGGTTCACATTATTCGATTTTCGTCTCGCGTTATGAATCTTAGGAAGGGGTTGAAATTTTTTTTCACTGGTGTAGCACATCACCAGATCTAAGTTTTGATTTACTTTTATTACAGGAAATATGTGTTCACTCTCACATACACAAATCCTAGCTACCACGGAAAACAGAACACAGTACTAGGTTTATTTGGGAGAAAGTTACGGCCTATGTAGGTCTTATTATATCATGGTGTGATGAAAGCCCTACACAAAACGAAACGTTGTCCCAATAATAAGTTATTCTCTAAAGTGACTTTTTTTTTTTACTGTTCTCGTCAGTGTACCTCCATTTGGATTCAATCGTATTAAAAAAAAAAAAAAACTAAATGCGGCGCTTAATTTGTATTTCAAAATTTTACATGATGGTGTGTATGCTTATTGAGATAAAGGCAATTTGAATTTCTTAATTTTTTTTTTACAATATTTGCGTTTGTTTATATCTGCTTTCTCTCTCTCTGTATTCTTCCTGTGGTTGTTCAGGCGACCAAGAGTCTTCAGAGAAGCTCTTTCTTCATTTACTGATTCTGAAATCCAGGTCTTCAACCTTCCACCGCATCTCCCAGCGCTTTTCTTGCTTATTACCTACCAACACACATATCAAGTGATGCTGTGCCTACCAGCAATAAGGTCACATGATGTAAACGAGGTCACAATCTTGAGTGAGGTTACGTGTTCAGATGTAACGTGTATCTTTACGGTATAAACCTAAGTTCCACCCTGTGGGCGGTACTTAAAAGATTACAGACACATATGACGAGTCCAGGGACTGGGCAGCAAAGTTTTGGTAGCTAAGGAAGTTAATGTGGTAATGAATTATTTATGTTTATGTATCTAGTTACAACCGTAATGAGTTATTTATGAAGACTTGAATTCGGTCACAATTACCATGAGTTAGAAATGAGAATTAAATTAGGTTAATTGCTGATGATAGCTGGAGATGAGGTGGATGATATGCATATGTGTGTGTGTGTGTGTGTAGAGGGAGGTGGGTGGGTTGGGGGTGTGGTTGGCGAGTGTGTTAAGTGAGCGAGAATGAAGCCTCTTGTCCCAGTTGTTGAGGCGCCGGGGTGACACACGCACACATACCTCCTCTAGTCTACTTGTTCCTTCAATCCACTTCCTAATGGCTGCTCTAGGACGCACCATCAACTTCTCTAATGGGAGGTCAATCCCGATACTTGGTCTGGGAACATGGAAAGTAAGTCCTCAGTTTATTTCTCGAAGTCATCTGTTTATCTGCATGTTGATGTACTTGACAAAAATCTTCTTTTCGCTAAATATAAAATAATGTTGCTTGTGCTCCAATATGTTTAAAATATCTAAGTGATGTAATTTTTAAGCAGTGCGAATGTTAACAAAATTTACATGTGAGAGGTAATGTGTTAAATATGAACACTGAAGCCCATCTTGTTGGGTTGTGGCTAACATTAAAGTCACACTGGGTGATAGTATTTGATTCATCAGGAAAAAAAAAGTTTCCTGACATAGGTCTTGTCATACAATGATCCCCTAACTGGAGCTTTTGGTCCACCACGTAAAAATTTAAGGTTCACATTATTTGATTTTCGATTCACATAATGATTCTTAGTAAGGGGTCGGCAAATATTTTCACTGATGCAGCACATCACCAGCAGATATAAGTTTCGATTTATTTACTTTCATCACAGGAAATGTGTGTGTGTGTGTGTGTGTGTGTGTGTGTGTGTGTGTGTGTGTGTGTGTGTGTGTGTGTGTGTGTAGACAAACATTACAAACTTTCTTTGATTACGAGTTTTCCGTTTTGACAATGTCTTCAAACCGGGAATTTTCAGTGGTTTAAATTACTCCAAAAATCACTGGATCACATTGCAGGCAGATAAGGCTGATTTCAAAATCATCTTGGGCTTTATCAACATAAATGAAAAAAAAGGTAAGAATAAATAAGTCGTGTCTAATCATTTTTAAATCTTGGAATTGCAGGGAAAATTCGAAATGTTTGTCAAGCAGTAACAGAGTAATTTAAGTTTTAAACACAAGTGGAAAAGTGAGCTAACTTATCTTTTTTTTTTTTTACCTGACGATAAAAAAATACTTTGATCATAAATGCCGTGATCATGTTAGGTGAATCCTGCATGAGGATCCCTTCGTTCCAGTTTCGAAAGGATTCTGTTTATTTGATCAGTGTTATCAATTACAAATTCAAAATCTGAGCCTAAAAACATAAATAATATTTACGAAGTGCATATCAGCGATGTAGAGAGTGCTCTACCACACTCACCATTGATGTAAAGAGCCAAGTCCTGTTTCAGTCACCAGCGGTATAGAGCCAAGTGTTCTACCATAAAACTACGCCTGTGGCCTTGAGTCAGACTATTTAAGTTTTGACATTGGAAAAGTTGCTCCTTAATGATCTACTGAGCGCGTCATGCGAATTAAACCCGCGTCCCATGATTCAGTCATACGATGCCTACTCTATCCGAGCCAAAGCTGGGATAGCCTGACAGATTGCAAAACTAAGTTACACAGATCAAAGCGGAATGTCCACGTGAGACAAAATTACTAAACATGGGATAAAAGCTTTATATTTCCCAGCATCAGTGACCTAATTCCACTAGAGAAATTTATGACCCCTACGGATTTACAGTGCCCCCTGACCAGTACCACTCAGCCTGTACAATGCAGTGTAAAAAAAAAAAAGTAAAGAAGAGTTGTCGCTATGAGGCTAATTCTATCTTCGTGTGTGGAGGTTGGCCACCACCACCAGATGTTGCTGTTGCTGCCTGTCACTGCTGCTGCCACCACAAACGTCTCTCAATTTCTAACACAAATTATACACATAGTTAATTTTTTTTTTAAGGGGATGAAACGGTAAGCCAGTGGAAGGGCTCGGCCAGATGACTAAAATGTCAGGTCAACATATGATAACTAAAACCCGCATCACGAGGCCTTTGTCCTGTTGCCTGGTGAATCTTACCAAACCTCAAGTTTACGATATTTTAAAATCATTTGACATTTTTATAACAATGTTATTTTTTCTCTGGATATTCAATGTTTTAATAACTGTCTTACCAAAAATGTGCAGACATCACAAACTAGGTGACCTTCCGAATTTCAGCATCCCCACCTCTCCTGTGACCTTCCGAATTTCAGCATCCCCACCTCTCCTGACTCATGAATTTCTTTGTTACCCAACTTACACTAATACGTCACATGATAAAGACCCATCGTCTCCAGTCCCATCAAACCCGCTCACACAAACCTGCTAGATGCTGAAAACCCTAGCACTCAAAACCTAGTTAACCCCTCTTCCTCCAATGCTTCCTGGGACGACCCCTACCATCCATCTCTTCCACTCCATATTTATCCAGCTTTATATTAAGTGTTAGATAAAAGTTACACGTGTATAATTTTACCTAACAAATTGTCGGTAATTTTAAGAACATTCATACAATTTAAATTAAATATGGTAATAAAATTGGCTTTCAAATATGTTGATATATGAACCAGTTCATCTCGCACACGGTGAAAATCAGACACTAAATGGGTAGCATCAGTAAATGTGGTAATTATTTTTTATTAAGTTACGCTGAGAGTTAATGTGTGGGACAGTCTAAGCCAGGAGAGGTGACGGCAGCGGTGAAGGACGCCGTCACAGCTGGCTACCGTCACATTGACTGTGCTCACGTGTACTGCAATGAACCTGAGGTGGGAGTTGCCATCACTGCTCTCATCAAGGACGGTACTGTCACCAGGGATGAACTCTTCATCACCAGCAAGGTATGATCACTACTTAACAACTAGTGATAACATTATATCCACAGGGAAGCCAGCAAACCTGGTTAATAGTGACTGGGGAATGAGAGGTAGTCAGGTTTGTTACGAGGAAAAGGCTGGCTCTAATTCCATGAATCAAGAGGCACCTCACTAGCATCAAGGCTCCCCCATATTGAAGGGATTGAACCGCCAGTGTCTAAGTCTGCATCTTCATGTTCTCTATACACCGCGACACACACACCTTAAGCCATGGGAAAGGCTCTTGATTCAGGGAGTTACCTCTTATTCCTTGAATTAAATCTACTTTTCATTCCCCATCCTCTGTATGACCCTTGTGGGTTTAGTGTTTCCCAATGAATATATAGCAATATTATCCATGTTTATGCAGGGAACATTTATATGGTTTATTGTGAACCAGACTAATTTAAAAAAGATGACCCACAGTCTGAAAACCTATGGACGCAGCTTCGAAACCTGGGCTGTACAACACTTTGGGAAAATAACCTTACACATGAACACATGTTTCACCTAGCACCTAGGTGTTAGCTGACTTATTGGTAGCATACAGGAGTAGGGTGTTAGTATACCCTAGATAGGGCTGGGCTCTGAAATGAGCTGAGGTAGGATAATAACTGTAAATGAGACAAGGTAGAATAGCAGCTCTTGGCATGTAAACTGAGCAGTGAAAAAAATACTGACAAGGTTAGGATGAAGATATGAACGAAAGATAAAAAATATGTAAAAATGTTTTTGTAGTTTAGTTGCCTAGTTGCTCAAGGTAGAAATATCATAGTTAAAACTGACTAAATTGTGATATCCTTCTAGGAAAATTATTCATTCTCTCCAAAGTAATTGATATTGTTCTGTAAATAGGATATGTGCAGATGATTATCTGTACTAGTAAAGGTCGTAGATACCGAAGCTTCAGAAGACTTCCCACCTTCCACATAGAAGTTCATCAGAGTTTATCTGGAGTCATGGCACGTACACAAGGATCAAGATGCAGCTTGAAGGAAATGGACGCGAATGCAGTCACGTGGGACGCCGTTATTGAAAACGTTTCGGACCCTGGATCTGGAAGGAATGAAGGTCAAAGGACCGATACATTTTCATTAAATGTGTCTGTCCTATGTGAATTCATTCGCGTCCGTGGTAAGACAGCATTCATTTACCATCTTACTACACACCGTACGCAGAGGTTGAAGAACTCTGATTTTTCAGTGGAAAAATTTCTTTGATGTTAATTAAAAGTTTTCTTTGTACCAGGTGTGGAATACTTTCCACGCGAAGTCGTCTGTGCTGCCAGCCCTCAAGACCACCCTGGCAAACCTCGGCCTCGACTACCTTGACCTCTACCTCATGCACTGCCCCATGGGCTTCAAGGTCAGTGTCTTGACACGCTGTCTACCTCACCTTCCCTGAGCGCTACCTGATACACTGGCCCATGACCTTCACGGTCAGTGCCTTGATGAGCTATCTACATCACCTACCTCAACTTCTACCTCACAAATTGGCCCAGTTGTCTCCATAGACTATAAAAATAGTGTTATCTACAAATAAGAATATATTTGACAATGTTAATGGCCGCACTGTGACGTTAAAATACTGAGGGTACTGTCTAGCCAGGGAAGGCTTGCATTCTTCAGTATACCATTTTAATATTCACGCGTTCTTTAGTACCTGACTAAAATATATCTTTATTTATTACAAGTACATGTACATGGTATACAGGCCTAGCTGACAACAATGACATACTACTGCATAGAAATCCCCTTGTTATGCTCAGCATTTCGGGCAAATTAGGTCAGTGTCCCAGGATGCGACCCACACCAGTCGACTAACACCTAGGTACCCATTTTACTGATGGGGAACATAGACAACAGGTGGAAAGAAACACGCCCAATGTTTCTACTCTGGCTGGGAATCGAACCCAGGCCCTCGCCGTGTGAAGCGAGTGTTAGCCACCAGGCCACCAGAGCCCCTTAATAATAAACAGCTATCGGGGGTCTCGTCTCCTTGATAGCACTGTACTGTATTATTTTTATCCACATCGGATGTTTCTCGTCAGGGGAACCCAAAGAAGAAAACGCATGCACCGCTGCTCATTCCCTAATGTTTTTCTCAAAAGTTTGTGGACGTCACGATGAAGTGCAATACTTCCATTACTTTTAAGTACAGGCAGTAACATATCTCCATGTCCATATATTAAGTTCGGATAGCTGATTTTCGTGAATATCTTCGCAGATATTAGCTTCTTCACACACAAAAAATCACTTTTCCCCACTCACTGCGATATAACCCACCCACATATGCCTGCTGGATGCTCAGGTCCTTACCACTTGAAACTGCATTCCTTCCGACCCTTCCTGGAACGTCCAGTACACCTTCCCGGATTTATACAGCCTTTATCAACTTGTCCCATCATTTCTAAATTATCACAGCATCTCAGCTTTTCTTTCCTTTCAATTATAACTTTCATACTGTCTTAATTTCTATATTTATTACACTGTTCATAATGTTGACCCCAGATATTGATTTAAAATATAACATTTCCGCTGTTTGAAGCCTCGACGTCGTTCCTACGTTCAAACACTGATTCTTACCTGCTCTAACCCTCTACAACATTTAACAACATAACACCTCCATATCTTTCAGATTTCACTCAGTTCCACGGTCATCTAACATTTCCAAACTCCTGTAGCTTACTCCTATACACCCTTTCAATTTATTCTAAAACCCCTTTAACTCAATCCCAGTCTCCTGAAACTCAGTCTCAACAGAATTTTTTCATGGGAGATTTTAGACATTATCTTTTTTCTAATGTGGATTATTTTAATGTGGAGCATTTATTTGTTGAGCATGTTCGTTCGAGTAGTTTTTATGTTAGATCATTTTACTCTGGGTGTTCTTCTGTTGGTTCGTATTTAGTGTTAGATACTATTATAGCTGCGTGATCTCATCGGTCAAAGTATCATTAAGTCTCGCATCTTCCTTCAACCCGCAGGAAGGAGGTGATCTCTTCCCAGTTGACTCGACTGGGAAGAAACTCTACAGTGACATCGATTACGTGGAAACTTGGGAAGCAATGGAGGAGTGTGTGAAGTTGGGCCTCACCAGGTCCATCGGGGTCTCCAACTTCAACAAGAAACAACTGGAACGTGTTCTTAAGGTGGCCAAGGTCCCCATTGCTAACAGTCAGGTGGGTCGTGCTAAAGAGAGTACATCGTGATGCTTTTCAAGTGGTCTAAGAGCCTTGATTATACAAGAATAGTATTCTGTCAAAGCAGTCGAAAGTAAAGTCATTTATTTAATAACTCCACGAGTCTCAGTATCTATTGATGTTTAGTAATGGCAAGTAAATTTAGACTGACCTAAGAGAGATTTAGTAAACTTCAACCAAGGAAGAAAATAATATTTTAAGCAGTATGGTTAAGGTGTGACTTTTACAAAGTGCTTGAGGTAGTAACAAAATTTTAGCATTCTAGTGCAAGGCACTTACCACGAACACCACTTATATTAGATACCGAAAAACGGAATAATTGACTTAACGAATTATTTTCTTTTCTAGATCGAAGTACACCCCTATCTGCCCCAGAATAAATTGATTGAATTTTGCAAGAGTAAAGACATCACTGTTACAGCCTACAGTCCTCTTGGGTCCCCAGATAGGTGAGTACTGGCTGTGGAGGTGGGTCAGTACTCTCAAACTTATATGTCAAAATTGGGTTTGACAGCATTTTGGAAAGGAGCGCCATCTGTGGTAACACTGGGCAAAGGCGATGTCCCCTTCTATCTAGCCTAAGGGGACTGATCTCCAAATTACCTGTCCATTTTTCACTAGTGTTATATATTAGCTTGTATTAGACTGAAGCCTTCTTTGAATGAAAAACGTTTTGCCAATAAAGATACCCAAGTATTGCGTATGTCTTATTAATATTGTATTAGCTTCAGCAGGAACAGTAAGTAAATAGGCCCTTTAATTGAGGGCCCAAAGTTCTTTTTTTAAGAAAAAAAAAAATTTTTGATCAGGTCTTTGGGTCCTTTGTGTGTCCCAGGTCTTTTTTAGTTTTTGTGGTAGCTCTTTCATTCATAAATGTAGGACTCGGGGGAGCCTCACAAACACGTATATTTCCTTTCACTTTTTGACTTATCCTGGCAGTTTTCCCGGGTTTTAGCCATGTTTTTTGGGGTCCATTTGACAAAAATAAACCCAAAAAATTTGCAAGCACCCACTAAATCTAAAATATATCCCATAAGGAAATAAAAAAACCGTGTTGATTAAAAGTTTAGTTAATATAAACTTTCGTGTTACATGCATCATCCCACAAAAAAAAATTTTTCGGTGTAGGCGAACTCGCTTCCATGTAAAAAAAAAAAAATGTATTAAAAAGGGGATTCCCCCGCAAAAAAAAAAACGACCCGCCCGGGAAGGGAACGAAAAAACCTCTGCCCACGAGGAAAGTAATTTTATAAATAATACAAAAAAAAACAAAAAAAAATAAAGGGATTTTATGTGTTATTTTCGTGTTGTTGTCGATTCATTTATCTGGGGGTTATGGGAAAAACAGATCAAAGGACTGAACTCCACTCCGAGATTATTTTTGAGAACAATATTACTTATACGTAGGACTGAGGGCCCCAGTGTGTTTTCTAGGGTTTTAAGTCCAGGATAGAAAAGAGAAAGTAGCTAGCTGCTCTTTCTCCTCTCCCCTCCCATTAATTTTCTATATTTCTTTTGCATGAAAAGGCCCTGGGAAAACCAGGGACCCGTACTGACGGAGGGGCCCAAGGTTTAAACTCTCGCCAAAGTAAAGAAGTCACCAGCACAGATTCCATCCTTTCCCGGTCAGCTAACAGGTGTTTTTGCAGTGAGTAGGAGAAAAGTTTTCCGGATGTAACAGGGGTTTTTACGTGATGCTGCCACAATGTTCTACGGTTTTGTCACTAGTGATACTATCACAAATGTTCTCAGAGTTCTTTCATTGATCCCGTAGCAAGTAGAAATTTTAATTAGCCTATATACTTTGGTTGGGTTTAAATGAAGAGGCTTTTGTAACAGTGACGAGTGTATATTTTGTTTGTAAATTAATATGGATGAAATGTAGAAATTTTATTTTTGCAATTGAATTGTTATTTTTATGTAAATGACACTGTACTGAAGAAATGTACGTATTTTTTGTAGAATCGATCTGATATAATAAGAAAGAAACTCTTTGCAGATTGACCGAGGGTTGATTGTGATTCCAAAATCTGTAACCAAGTCTCGCATCGAAGAAAACTTTCAGGTACGTTAAAATATTTAATTTAGTTTAATCTGTTCGTGGTTGCAGGGAGCGCCTCCCTGCGGCCCGGTTTCAGACCAGGTCTTCTAGCAATGTTCTGGTTAACCTGGTTATTGGTACACGCTGGAAGTATTGCAACGTAGGCCGCACCATGAAGGAAAGACACAGGTTGCAAAAAATTTTGCTCCGTGTAGAGCTTCATCAAGCCAGCACGACATAACATCATATAGATGTGTAGGCACAACAACCTGATTGATCACTTCATGCAGTCATTTCATGCAATACCTTAGTTATTTACTAATCAGGAAAATATGCACCTATCATCCAACCCATGGTTCTAAAGCTATAATTATTATTTTACGTGTTGCAGATCTGGGACTTCCAGTTGTCGTCAGAGGACATAAAACTCTTAGAGAGTCTGGAGTGTAATGGACGCGTCTGTACCATTGATGAGTAAGTAGTAATTCGCAAGTGGTTATAAACCGTGTGTAGTTTTTCAGTGCATATGCACAGACGGCGTGTTTGTCTCAGCGTATATACGCCGATAGATTGTATACATTAAGACTGGTTAAGTTCGTATATTTTCACAGACATTCATTCCTTGCTTCAGGTTGAGTGATCACCCGTACTACCCATTCCATGATGAGTACTGATAACCCACGAAGAAAGCTCACAGCTTAAGCAGGTTTTCTGAGTGTCAGTCATCAGTTATCTTCCGAACGTCATTGGCGATCACCTTGGAACATTTTCAGAGTACAACAGTGTCACTGAAAATTGACTCAGGAGTCTAGAACTTACCGTGAATATTATTCGAATGATTTCGAACGCAATCAGAATTCTGGTGCAAAGGTAACGAGCACTGTCATGAGCACTGTGTATGGTATACACTTTTCATACAATATGTACCGTCTTATACGTGTTTCATTGATCCTATACTACCACACTAGCTATATCTTAATTACTGAACCGTTTCGCCTTCGCGGCAGGCTTCTTCAGTCGAATACAGAGACTCCTTATACAGGAGGCAGAAGAAGTGGGGAGATAATTTTTAATGTGTTCAGAACCCCTCTCCCCCCTTTTTTTTTAGCTGTTCACTCCCGAAGTTTTAATAGGTGTTCGGTCTCTTAACCTAGATAAATGTGTCCTTATCCTCCATAGGTGTTCAGTCCCTTGTTAGAAGGTATTCACTCAACATAGACACGCTTTCAGTCCTCTAGTCTCGATAGGTGTTCAACGTTTAGAATACTGATAAACGAACAAGAGCCGCTGGGAGAGATGAAAGGGAGGACAAAACAAGCTCGTCTATCAAACGCTGCAAGTGACTAAAGAGAAACAGAGAGAGTGAGACTACCGATGGAACGTGGCACGTCAAAGGTATCAGTGCCGGGTAGAATATCACCAGGAGAATAAAGAGAAAATGAAATTGTGCAAATTACTCTACATATCTCTAAAAAATTATTAATGGCTAGGACAGACGGCTGTAGGGCAGAGACGATGATACCAATATTCAAGGAAGGTGACAGGAAACTGTGGACTATATGGACCTTGGATGAAGTCTGGTTGTCTCCCATTACACATGCTCTATATGACCTCTAAGGTTTAAATAGGTACAATAATAATAGAATAATGATTATAGATATCCGTGTCAAGGAGAAGTGACATGTTAATTGCTGGAAAAGATTACAAGAACAAGACTTGTTAACATTTAGAAAAACCTGTTGACAATCTAGTGTTAAATTTCTCAAAGCACAATAATAATAATTCAGAAATGGAAGAGCCTGCTTACCTTAAATAGATATTCGATATACTAACAAGTGTCAGATAGAAAGGAAAGGGATGGGTGGCCTGCAAAGCCCTCGATACTACGTCTCATGGAAAATGACTTAGCGAACTGGTGAAGCAAACAAGGGTAAAAGGAAAGTTATTATCGAGATAAAGCGAATACTTCAGCAGAAAATATACAGTGACCTCAGGAATGAATTGTTATTATATGTGCAACTAGAAGAGTCCAACAAAGATCACTTTTGGATCCCTTAGTGTTCCTGGTGCATATTAATGACAGGATTTTAGGAATGGATTCCTCTTTACCTGTATCCTTCTGTACGCTGCGAGAATAATGAAAATATATAATGCAGAACATAAAAATGAATGTTGTTTTGGGGAGAGGTGTATGTTTAAAAAAATAATGAATCTGGTACGAAATGGGAGCCGTCCCAGTTGCTCTTTGCTGGTAACAGTTCTTTTTTTTTTTTTCTTTTCTGAGAATCTAAAGACAAGTTGAAAAGGCTGATTTAGGAAGACTAACGTTCTTCAGGAATGGTTAACTAATTACTGAAGTTTAATCTAAAGAAAAACAAGCTTGAGGCTGGTAACTAGAGAAAGATAAGGAAAAGAGTACGATAACAGTGTACTCTGGCGAAAAAAAAAATGGGAACAGTTGAAGAAAAAGTCGTAGGAGCAACCGTAACCTTCAACCGGTTCCCACATAATGTACACAAACATAACATCATCAGTACAGGTTTAGCTCGCGAACATAATAGCGAGAAGTAATTTCCATCAAGTATTACTATTATAATAATAACTAAGCGATATTTTAACAAATAGAAATGGGGGCGGGGGAGAAATGATCATAATATACACGACACAGAGGGCACGACAGGGAGGACAGGTTTGAAAGGAAAAAAACAGGAACAAGAGAAAATTGATTGTAAAGACAAACGAGACATAGGAATTTAAAGACTTTTTCAGTGTGAGAGCGTTTAGAGTAAACAAATGATGTGGACGGGGAAGAGATGGAAGTTGATTTCACACACATTTTTAAGTGTAACAAAGAAACAGGGACCCCAGCAACTAGAAAAAACCCTGCAACCACAAACAAGTACAAATACCTGAGCTCAAGAACGCTCAACCTCCCCCCGAACCCACACACTGAAGCACACTCTACCAGCCATCTCAATTTCCTTCGTATTTGGTGTGGAGGAAGGGACACTGACCCAACACAAATACGTGACCTGACTGTCTGGTTGTTGTGAAGGCTTGTCCACTTCACACATTGATGTCTCTCTCACTCTCTTAGTAAGATATTGCAGCAGTCAGGTCTCCAATTTAATATTCCTGTATTAGTTAAAACACTACGTAAGATGTTATCATCGATTTGCAATTAAACATTGAAAATGTCGATGTTAGTTTCACTGTATTAAAGCAAAATGTTTACGCCAGTCTGTAATTAAAAAATATTAAACGTGTTAATTTCATTGTATCTCGATCCATTTAAGTGTTTATTTAGTAGCTGGTGTTCAGTGGTTTGCATATGACAAGACACAGTAATTAACAAGCAGATGTTAATTACCGTATCGTGTCATTTTGGAGCTGCTTGTGTTTTCGTCGTTTTACTCTGTCGTCGCGTTGTTTTTAAAAGAGTCGTGCCATATGTGTCGCATCTTTCATTGTAATAGCGTTGAGACAGCAGACTCGCGTGCTTGGGGTTGCCACGTCGTTTCGGAGTTCGGCTTCCCAGCCCTGTCTTCGTCGTGTCGTACATCACCGCGTCGTGTTGCGGCGGCAGATTTCCTCTCTTGCAGTCGGGACAATACCTGGGAGTCACTCCTCACGGGCCCTCCAGCAGTGCTTCAACTTTAAAGTGGAGTGGGCAGTAATTGTTCAGCGGAGCCCTCCAGCAGTCCTTCAACTTTCCTCAGTGATCCCAACTCTACCCAGACGTGCATGGATGAAATGAGAAAAAAATACCCGAAGAAGACCTCGTCTTACCCACCCATAGGATTAGGGTCGCGTACACACAATAGCTAATAGTTAGGGATTGATAAATAAAATTTACACTAGAAGGTTTCACTCGAATTCTTACCCATAAAAACAGACGCTAAAAACACAAAAATACGCAAATACAAAAACACACAAGCACAAAAAAAACAAAAAAAAAAAAAAAAAAAGGAAAAAACAAACACAAAAATAACAAAAAACAATGAATGCGCTACAAGTAGATTAGAGAGAGTATCTATAGGGAAGGTGAAGAGTAATTGTCCGAGAAGAAACATCAGAACTAGAGTGTAACAGGCGAGGCTCAGCCAGGATGGCTCTAGTGCTAAATTGTCTTCTGGCTAAATTACTAGGTAATGACAAGACAAACACTAATGCGATATTGAAAATAAAAAAATACCAATAGTTTATGTGAAAATTATTCTGCAGTTGGATTCAAAAGATAAATATTACAGT